TAAACTCTGCGTTTTGGTCATACAGTATGACTCGGGTTTAGTGAAACGTGTACACTGCAGTGTAGAACAATTAGCTTATGCTGTTCCTTTTGTTTAGGTTTTCATGTGGGAATTGTCAACCAGTGCGGGATGGAGGCGGTGGAGCAGGGGAGAGGGGCGGGTGCGAAGCGTTTTCTGCTACGTCAAACACGTCATAAGTGTATCTGCCGCATCATCGTTGTGGCAGCTTTAGTTGATTGTCATGTGGGAGGGTGGCAGAAATACGCTGCAATTAGTTTAAAAAAATGCCAAATCAATCTAAAAAACACTTTGGCAACATATACAAGGCCCACACAAGGCCCATACATCTCTCTTAGAAGGTCGAAAGCTCTGAAAAGTTGATCTTGCATGAGATGGGCCCTTTAATCATATGAACTCCACAGTGCACTGCCCATTTGCACTGTTTAGGAGTTTGATTTTCAACAAAAAAAGGTGAGAGTGACTAACTGAAAAACTGTTACAAATACAATACAAATCAGCTCATCTGTTGCAGTTCCAGCTAACTAGGTCAGATTGCGTTAAAACAAAACCTCAGACCTCAGAAGTAACAGTTGAGTAAGAGCTTCAGACAGTGCATGCCTACAGTTAGCATCACACCCGCAGGAGGGCACTGCTCTGTCTGATAATGCCTGATAGAAAAACATCCGATGTTGAAACCTGCCAAATCACAGCAATAAAGAAGTTGTTTAAAATGGAAGTTCAAGGATGGGATCTGATTTCACAAAGGTAAACATTAAAGGGACAGTTTGGAATTTTAGACATAGGGCCTCATTTCCTAGTGAGCCAGAGTGTTGGAGACGTGTGGAGACACTTTTTAAAATATTCCATCCAGTTCTTGTATTTGCAGAGGTCGCTGGTGCTAGGCTAGTGCATGTCAATGGCCATAGTTAGCCTGCCACTAAAAACAGTCTTACCCACTCCACAAAACACCCGAAGCAAATCTACTACAAATGTAAATATTTATGTCAAAAGAATAATTTTAGAAGTAAAACTAACCTTGCATTTGAAGGATTTATGTCTGAGCAGCAGCAGTGAGTTGTACTTCCTGACAGAAAGCTCAGCAGCAGCGGACTGATATATGAGAACATAGTCCCTCAACATGCGACAGTTCATGCGATGCAAGGTTAGTTTTATTTCAAAGATTATTTTATCAACACAGACATTCACATCGACAATCTGGTGTAATAATAGATTTGCTTCGGGTGTTTTGTGGAGTGGGTAAGACTGTTTTTAGTGGCAGGCTAACTATGGCCATTGACATGCACTAGCCTAGCGCCAGCGACCTCTGCAAATACAAGGACTGGATGGAATATTTAAAATAGTGTCTCCACACGTCTCCAATACTCTGGCTCACTAGGAAATATGTCTCGCTATGTCCAAAATTCCGAACTGTCCCTTTAAAGCAGGGCTCACCAAACTATTTTCTCACATTATGGCTCCTGACTGTGATGGGGGGCGGGGTCGGGTCGGTCATATAACAGAATTGTATGACCCTGACGACGCAGATTATATTCTTTGAAAACCGCCACACTTTCCTTACTTATCAGACAAACTGCACGCTCCTTACACTGAACAAAAAAATGATCGGTCGTCCACTGTTCTTTGAAAACTCTGCACTCTTTGTCAACATTTCGTACTTTAACACTCGCCATTTTGCTACAGAACTCTGCGCATGCATCGCCTGTCACTGTTTGATCTCGAGCTCGTCAGGTGTCGAAAATTCGGCGGCAAATGTAAAAGCGTTCATATTCTCCCGGGACCCGAACAAAAAAAGTGTATTGCAACATATATTTTTTGTGTTTTTTTATCTATTTGGAGGCAAATTAACTCCTTAGCATTTCCATTTTGTTAATTTTATTTTTATTTATTTGTAACATGTCCTCTGGAATGGATACCGGGGACATTTTGGTGTTAAATCCACGTGAAGTTGACAACCTAACAACATTTTTTGATGACCAGCATATCTGACAAGCTTCTATAGTTGTCTCAAAAAGTTTTTAGACTCCCTTTTTATTTCTTCTTATTAATTTTTTTTTCTTATCATAGTGCAGCCACAAACTAACTCCTGTTGAGTTAATTTCCTATCCTGGACATGATACCTACAATCCCCCAGCCCTATTTAGGTCACTAAGAATCTCTAAAGACTTAAAATATAGACTGGGTAAGTCAATGTCCACTACAAAGGACAAGAATGAATAGGCCGGGTCTCAGGAGGATACAATTATTTAAATATAAATGTAATAAAAAAAACAGGCTTCAGCAACTTTTGAGGATTGCCCCTTAGTTTGACGACCCCTGCATTAAAAGATGTAAAAAAACACAAAATCCATGACGTTTTGGATGAGGTAACAACATCAATTATGCGTAATACGGGCCCTTTATAATATCAGCATCAAATTTAAATCTTACCTTCGTAAAAATATACAAAACTAATGTGTAAAGTTTGGATATTTTGAAATAAACGTGATCAAAGTTTATGCTTTACTGAAGAAAAAAAAACTGTGGGAAACACTTTGGTAGGCCCTGTGTGTTGTGGTGTTCAGTGTAAAAGATGTCTCAAACACTAAAGCAGTTTCATATATGCTTTCTAGTTTTCATCTGAGAATTTTTCACCAAACTCCTACGTTTCCCAGAATGACTTCGCACATCAAAAGTGTTATGTAAAAGCATTTATTTTCACCAGGTACTGTTCCATGTAGGTGGTACAAATAAAACCTGTATTTTCCATTGTAATAAAAAAAACATGTTATTTAGTGAATTACTTGTACTACTTGGTTACTCATTACTGAAGTGTAACCTGGCTGTTGGACCAGTTTAACTACTGTATAACTGTTTTTCGTTGGCATGCACACAATCTAAAATCTCTTAAAATAAAATAACTACACAGATATGAAACATAGCGTAGTAATACAGATTTGAATTTGAAAAGTTTTTGTAAATATTGGGCTCCAGCACTAATATTCTGATCTGTTCTAATGTTCCTGGAGTTGTGTTTTGTTTCATTCACACGTTTAACGCACAAACCCTGCACATTTAGGCTGAGTTCTTCTAGCCAGGCTATTGCCTCCGCTCAGTTTAATTTCTCTCCAGCGTCTAGGTCAGGAATCGGAATACACTAGACGGTTTGCAAGAACCCTTCTTCCTACGGAATTTGGGAAAAGCTTAATATACCAGTTAGCCCCGTTTGTGGCGCATTACCTCCGTCACAACCAAATAACAGAGATTGGTTAAATAAAAATAAGTACCATGAGGTGATACAATAAGATAGATGCGAGAAGATCATTGTGTTCATGAATAGTTTAGATGTGTGGAGCTTTAGATCTTTACGTATGAAACAAAAGCAGTTGAGACTAGTTTTAATCTTCTTTGCTAAGTATTTTGTGTGACCGATAAATTTGAAATTTTCGTCTAAAATGAGGCCAAGGTGTTTACATAAGTTCACTGACTGACTTTTTGGATTTTCTCATTGTGAATAGTCACTTCAAACTCAGTTTTTGTGTGTGTGTGTGTACGCACTGAAAACCAAAGCGAAACTGTTTTTTTTTCAGATTCAAAATCAAGTGTGAAACTCCATTTTGGAGATGTAAATAGACTAATAATAAAGGATTACTTAATGTGTGGATGAAACAAAACACAACCACAGCTCTGTTTTTGAGGAGGTAACAACATTAAAACATGTCTTAAAGCTCATATGGGTCAATTTTCCGTGTCTTACCTATAAGACTTTTCATTTAAAGGTATTTAAATGAAAAGTCTTATAGGTGCTAGAAAATCGAGATATTATCTTTTGGTATGAACTACCTCTACATACAGTTGAATGACATTACCCAGGTGAAGAGTAGGCCTAGTATCAACAGTCATTTAGTAAATCCAACTCAAGGGACAACACAATCAAATATGCAGATTTCATTTTGGTATACAATTTTTTTTAATAATCTCGTTCCACCTCCTCTAAAAGAGTTTGTGAAAAGAAATTCAAATTGCATGACAAGAGCAGCTCTAGAGGTGACCGCTCTGTGACAGACTCTTTTGCTTATTGAGCAGGTCAAACATGGAACACAGTGCCTGCACATACACGAGAGCTTTAACACTGCAGTATTTTCTAAAGCTTGAAAACAGTGCTTGTTCAGTGGTCAAATATGTCACCTTGTTTAACCAAATTACATTTTCTTTTATATCAAGGGGTTGTTGGTTTAACTCTTGGTTTAACTCTTAAACTCTTGACTTTGAACTTCAAATGAACAGTTTGAAATTCATTTGTATGTATAGTGAGTGTGCTGGTGTTATGCACTTTTGTGTGATTGTTGTTGTACAGTACTTTTCTCTGTTCTGTAGATGATTTGACATCAATCTGCAGAGGGACTGAAGATGGAAATGAGCCACGCTGGCTATAATCTTTACATATTTACATTTTAAATGTTCATTAATATGTGCTGTCCCTTTACAAATAAATAAATAAATAAATAAATAATTAAGAAGAAAATTAGCCTTAGACTACTATCTGGTGTGTTTACATTCATGTTATGTCATGTTTGTCCATTAACATGCTCTGTGACAATCAAAAAAATAAATACATAAATAAAATTTGTGGTTTCCATGTCATTTAAGAAATCCAGAAATCTCCTAGTCAGATTTGGTGTGCATGTGAACAACGCCAATGACCAACCACCACAAATCTCCAGAAGAAAATTTTCCATTATGTTTTCACCAAATTTTAAGTTTTAAATTTATTTTTGGGACTGAGAACAACAGGCTTATGGGCATTTGTTACTGCATAACTGGTAACATAAATGAGCAGCAAAAACTCATGTTGTTGAAATGAGTTCTTGGGTCTAGTTACTCATAGAAATGATGAGGTTCAATTTGAGAGATTTATGATGTCACATTCTAGAATCCGAAAACCACCCATACCTTTTCCTTCTAAATGTAAAACTTATAAATAAATGAAATGAACAAAGAAATAAGCTCAAACAGTTTTACTCAACAACAGGCATAAAAACAATTTATTTAACATGAAACATTAAAAAATACTATGCTTTTGGACAGCACATTGTAAAAGTCCCCAAGTTACTCCAAGCGTGTTAAATCACCCCACCCCATCTGTGTAAAGGAAGTGTGAAAACAGAATAATACAAGTACAAAAACTCAAAAACCGCACTGTGAATGAAAAGGAAAAACACTGATTTGACAAATAAAAGGTACTTCAACTTTTGTAACTGCATTGTCTTTGCCATGAAATGTTTTACATTACATTTGTACAAATTTGACAGTAAAATAAAAACTGATATTGAAATTTACTGTATGGTATTATCATGTTCAAAGTAGATAGTAGTAGTTTTTGTGTTTCTGAATTTGGTTGAATGTGCTCCAAAAATTGCGTGATTAAAAGACAATTTGCATGCATTGATAAAAGCCAATTGCTTTATTGTTTAAACTAATATTTTAGAAGTGAACTTGAAGCTAAAAAATGACAGAATATCAATTTAGAAACAAAAAAAATACTAAATACAGAATTGTGTATGGTTGAAACATGTTGGCTTCGGCTATTTAAATAAAAATTAAAGGCCTTTCCTTGATATTTTTTTCACGTGCAACTTCTACTTTTCTTGAGTGCCTTAAGTTTTTTGTTTTCACTGACTGGAAAACATTTTAGTTTTTCTGTAAGAGTATTTATTTAGTTGGCATAATTAAGTATATTTATATTTTTTCCCCAACTAGTGTGGCGTGTCAGGAAAGGCATCTGGATTGAAAACGTAAACATGCACCGTGCAATTTGAAAATGTTATTGCTTTTTGTCTAGAATCTTTCACAGTATGACATTAAGCCTCAAGGTAAACAATACCGTATTTTTCGGACTATAAGTCACACTTTTTTCATGTTTTGGATGGTCCTGCGACTTATACTCCGGTGTGACTTATATGTTAAAATTTTCACACTGACAGTTGCGAGAGGGTGCTCTAAGCTTGTGTACTCCTGTACTACTGTCACTTCACTCTACTGCGCACGTCGGCAGAAGAAAGAGAAAGAGCCTCTGTCCTGTTTGTATCATGTCAGTCGATCGCACCATTTCTTCTGTATCACCGACAATTTAAAATTTAAACAAACATAAACACAAGTGAAACCATCCTGTCGGGATTCAGAAAGGCCAGAATAATTCTAACAGGAACTGATGCTGAGTCTGACGACAGCTACACAGAAGAGGAAGAGGCGCTCTGTTTACTTCCAAGGGTCGCAGAGTTGCTCAGAAGTGACATTGAGGATGAAGAATTCAGTGGATTTAGTGATTTGGAGTGAGATGGAGAGTTTGGTAAACTTGTTCTGTTGTTTATGTTATAGTTTATCTGAAGAACTGTTCATATGTGACGTTAAAAGTCTGTCGTTCTCTCTTCTGTTGTTATTACTAGAACTTTACTTTCAAGGTAAAATGTCGGTTCCTGGTCTCTGATTTTATAAAATAAATTTCCCCCCAAAAAGTGTGACTTATATATGTTTTTTTCTTCTTCATCGTGCATTTTTTGCGACTTATAGTCCGAAAAATACAGTACTTGCGATATATCATGTGAAATGTTCCACTATGTAATGTCCTGCTTGTTTCCATGGAGATATGTTTGTGATGAGGAAACAGCATTATAAAATAGACCAGAAAACAGCAAAATATGGGTCTTTTTAAGCAAATTAAACCCACGTGATTGAGGAAATGCTTGGCCTAGTGGTGCTACCTGCTTGTGTTCAGGGAGAGCGACAGGTTTAATGCCATACTGTGGAAAAGCAATTAAAACGTGCAATTTTTCTGAGTCTGCTACCTGCTCGTCTCCATGGAGATGTTATTGCTTTGCCTGGAGTGTTTCATGGTATGACATTAAACATATGAATCAAACGTGTTTATATTGCTCAAAAATGCAATAATTCTTTCTGTGAATAGGCACGACTCTCCGCAGATATGATTTATAACGTAATGCTGTAACCTGCTCGTCTCCCTTGGTTTAATCTAGGCTGTGGAACATTCTACACAAAGCTATAACATTTCCATGGAGATAAGCAGGTGAAGCAAAAAAGTTCCATATTACATCTCCATTTGCGCTTCTCTGATTGGCCTCTGGTTTAAAAACTTGTCTTCGCCCTTGCCGTTCTGACTCGGCGTGGACAGGTGCTCCAGTTCGTAGCCCCCGTTGCTTTCGATGGGTCTGACTTCGCTGGAGGTCTTCTTGTGCTCCAGGATCTGCTGCAGCTGGTGCCCGGCGTAGTCTGGCTTTTTGGTCAGGGGTCCTACGGGGACTTCGATACCCAGGATGTCGGCGACCATGTAAGGACGCAGCCAGCCCACCAGAGGAGTGCTGCCGGGCGTGTAGTGAGTCTGCTTATGGTAGAAGAGGAGCCCGTCCACCTGGAAGAGGGATGTTTAGGTTAAAAAAGGAGCTGTACCTGATTTTTACTCCCTTAAAAATGTGAAAAACTAGTTACTTTGGACTGTTTGAGTTGCCTGACCAGACAGTCCCTTCTACATTTTGACAACAGAAGGTGAAAATCTGCCTTCTGAACTTAAGACAATCCAACCACAGCTGCTAATTTGTAGGAGACATCTCTCAAAAACTCAGAATATTCAGAACTAAAAATATAACTTCTTTTACCCAAAATAATAGAAAACCTGCATGTGATGTCACGGCTTTACCCTGATCGTGGTCCAGCGAGTAAGACTGCCAGTAGACCGCCATTGTAAAGTTAGCACATTTTCAAGTCGTTCCTTTAATTTTCACATTAAGACACATGCTGGAAAAGTGTTGTGCACAGAACTGTAATCAGTAGAGAGATAAAGACTGAGGGGTTCAGTTGTATCGGATCCTGGTTGAAGCTGACAGTCGAGACAAGTGGAGCTGCCATCAGTGTGGGAAATACCTGTCAGTATTCAGGGTCCCCATCTCTGAATTGTTGAGTGATACAGACTCAAATGTGAAAATAGAAAAAGACAATGCAGTGGATGCCACAGACAGACTAAACTGAATAGGCCCTTTTCAATTGACTCAACTTATAAAATGAACTGCATTTAGTCGTGTGTGAGAAATGTTACAGTCACATTAGATTCAAACCAGAGTCTGCTGGTGTTACCTGCACTCAGAGCTTCTGCTCCGGGATGATGTGTGGTCAGTTTGTACAGAGTTCTACATGCTGCTGTTTTATGAGTTCATGGTGATAACTTGAGATGAGATAACTTGAGACGGTCTGCAGTTTTAACAGGGAACATAGAAACCTTTCGCAATTGGAGGAACATCGGGAACACTGGCCTGACCCTGTTTTTTGAGGCTTTTTAGGGGGTGTGATGGGTTAATCGGTATTTCGCACACTGGCTGCCATAAATTGGGGAATTTATGACCTGACCACAGACATGCCATTTTACTAGAATGCTAGCTATTGTTGTTTCGACCGTCAATATGGCAGCCAAAACAAAAACGGTCACATGACTGTAGGGTCTCTATAGTTTTAATAATGATAATAATAATAATAATAATAATAATAATAATAGGTGCTTCGAATGTTGATTCTGTAAAAATCTCTGTTTTTCAGTTCTTTATGGGTGAAAGGAGCATGTGTCTCTCTGACTAATAAAACTACAAAGCTGAATTAACCATAGGATGTGAAACTGAGTGACCCAGCGTTATTCCTCACTAACCTTATGCATTCTGAGTACATAATTATTCAGCACGATGACTTGGATATTTATATACTTTGACATTTGGACTTTTTATATTATCATTATTATGTTTTTTATATTATTATTTTAATAATTTGATAATTTGATTATAGTTCCTCATTCCATGTAGTTGTGATATAATGGGTCTAGTGACTTCCTGTTTTCAAACTATAGAGCTGGCAAATCCAGCCTCTTCAGCTTGAGAGCAGAACATCTTTTGTTCATGTTTTTATTGTTACAGAATGGATACGTGACATTCTTGAACCCTGCACATGACCCTGAGTCTGGATTAAAACAAAAAGTTCTGTGCTCACAAGTAAGAACAGAACTGTGGGAGGAGATCAGGGGTAGGGGAAACAATTTTTTTCTAAGCACTTAATCCTTGAATGGACAGTGCAATCAAATACAACTCTGAATAAGCTTAAAATGAAGAAAAACAATTTGAACGTGATTAAAAACTCAGAAAAATGTAATTTTTTTCATAACATATCCCCATTAAAGATGCACTACGCAACTTTTCTGAACTTTCCTGTTTGTTGCCATTGAGGAGTAGCCTGATTCATCAGCCGGTTTCCATAAAGTGAAACCGTCTGACCAGGCAACATTAGGATTCGTTCACTTGACAGTAGGCAGGTATTTTTTTTATTAACCAGTCGCTGCTATTTGGTCGTGACGTATGTAATTAGGGCTACTGCGGTTAGGGCATTTCTCCTGCGGTGTGGTATAGTGGCTCAACAGCACAGTATGCGATAATATCACACCCCCCATCCCCCGGAATTACAATATTTCCAGTAGCTCTGAAAACTCTCTCTGATGATGCACTTGTTGCAGATGCAAATGTACCTTGGTTACCGTGTGGATATAGCGCAGGACTCTGGGTCGGGTCACGATGGTCAAGGCCCACCGTGGTGGATGTTGGGCCACCGCGGTGGGCCTCTTAGTATCGCAGCGATTCATTTTTGCAGTTATTGCGACAGTCCTAGATGTACTGCGCCACTAACGGAGCTCACTGGTATATTGAGCTTTTCCCAAATCCCGTATGAAGAAGGACAATAACGTCTTTCCCCTTGATAAAATTCACCAAACATTCTTTTTGTTCCAGCTTTAAATCGGTGCCAACACAGAATGTATGGCTCTTTACTGATTGGCTGGTGCCCAAACTCGAACATTTTCACTGTTTTGATGATTAAAATGAGTGTGTTTCATATTCACTTTGCACAAAGAGTGCAGAATGCATTTAGCTTTTATTTTTTATTGAACTGTATAGAATCGATTTCAAATGTATCGTATCGAATCAAAAGTGCACTGTATCGAGATACGTATTGTATCATGGCCTATGTATCGAGGTATGTATCGTATCGGCAACTTCTTAAAGATCCCCAGCCTTACTGAGGAGTTATTTTTATTGCTTTGTCATGGCTTTTGTTTTTAGCGTTAAACATACAAAGCCATTTATTATCTACATATTTATTTCTTCACAGCAGTTTTTATATCTCAAAAATCCACTGGAAAACATAGATTCTTGCTGTTAACGGGCTTGCCTCTCCACAGATCTGACCTGTACCTTGTGGAGCCACCATAGACTGAGCATGGGTACACTTTTGACTCCATCGACTCTGCTCCAATTCACTTTATATTGAAAAAACATCGCCCCTCTCTCTGTAACTGTCATGCTCCTCATTTTGGTCTCAAACTGGTCTTATCCTGGTGTTTATTTCGCTGTTTTGTCCTTAAATCAATTGTAACTCGGCTTAAAATCATAACATCTCCATGGAGAAAACAGGTAGTGAACTCTCCACCAGAAAAGTTAGTGTCCCTTTAAAGTCATTGGATACATTAGCTAGCACATATGACCTCTTTAATTTTTTTCTAAGCTGATGAACAAAACTAAACCGCTGCTCCAATGGTCAAATAACAGACATTGCAGTATCCGCTGAGAGATACAATATTGCTTAGCTTGCAAACAATTTCTCAACCGATTTGACAAGTGTTATTGCAAATCCTCTTAAGTTCAAATGAGGTTTATGTGTTTGCCTGAAAAGCACAAAGCAGGAAGGAACTGGTCTAGTGTTTCGAAATCAGCCATTTATAAAGTGAAAAGTGCAGAGTTTCTACAGTATTGTCCCGATAGTTTAACACTCAACTGGACGACACGGCAGAATTCTATGGTGGAATTTGCTGTTAAACTGACAGATTGTAGATTTGTTGATCTGGTTTATGGTTAAAGAGGGTCCACCGCCCGCTTGTCTCCATGGAAATGTTATTGCTTTGTCTAGAATGTTCCACAGTATAGATTAAACCTACATATCTATATACGCATTTTACCAGACTATAAGGCGCACTTAAAATCCTTTAATCTTCTCAAAAATCGACAGTGTGCTTTATAATCCGGTGTGCCGTATGTATTAATTCTGGTTGTGCTTACTGACCTTGAACTGATTTTATGTGGTACACGGCGCTCAAAAATCTGTCAAAACGTTTTAGTATGACTTTGGTACACCAGGAAGCCACATCACTTAATAAGGCTGTGCAAAAATATTAAAATATCAATATATCATATCATGTAATGTGATGATACAGTATCGATATATCACCAAGAGTATTTTTTGTGTCTTTTACTAAAGTATTTTGTTACAGCGCTACAGTTTTGTTGCTTTTTTAGTGGAAGGAAACTCGTTTATGCGACCCATTTGACTTTACTACTGTTTTCACCTTTATTTTTTATTGAACCGTATCGGTTGAAATATAACGTATTGAATCAAAAGTGCACTATATCAAGATATGTATCGTACCGTGGCCTATGTATCGAGGTATGTATCGTATTTGCAACTTCTAAATGATACCCAGCCCTACTGGTCGTCGTCAGGAGTCTCGTGGAGTCTGACAGAAGTTGACCGCATCAGCGCAATTTATTTTATTTATTAAATATTTTTTATTGGTATGGATGTGATGATGTGTCTATATTCATGCATTTTTGCTGTTACGGATTACGATTTAGTTTTGCTGTATTTCATAAAATGACAATAAATAAATCTAAATCTAAAAGGAGCGAGCAGTTTTTTCAATGCTTATAGTTTATGCAAATTAAAAGTTTGTTTCTGTAAAATGTAAACAATTGTGTGCAAAGCTACATTAAACACATTATTACTCAATGTATATTTGACTCGTCCTCGTAGGAAATAAAAAAAAAAAATTTAAATTATCCACCCACATTCACATTCATAATCTACATTCACCAAGACAGGGAGGCAACACCGGGCGAATTACGCAATGATCTGCCAATGGATCGTGGATGCCTGGGCTAAGGATCAGTCTCAAGTGTCGACCGTTTGTTTCACTTTAAGTGACTTATAATCTGGTGTGTCTTATGTATGAAAATAGATGAGAGAATTCAACATTATTGATATTGATTATTGATAGTCCGAAAAATACGGTATATATTCAGATCTGTTGAGAGTCGCCCCAATTCACCGAAGGAATTATTGTATTTTTGAGAAATACCAATAATGAAACACCAATAATGAATAAATGCTAAGATGGATATGTTTAATGCCATACCATGGAACATTTCAGGCAAAGCAATAACATCTGCATGGAGACAAGTAGGTAGCAAACCCTGCACCAGAAACGTTGCACAGTGAACCTTTAACATCACTGTAACTGCCAGGCCTAAACTATAAAAGTTCACCATCTTCTCTGACAGAATAAATAAACTCCTTCTTGGGCAAAATTTGTTGTTGTTATTTCTGTTATGATTTCACTAATGTTATATGGATGATACATTGTTCCGTTGTAAATAATGTAAATTGCTTACTTGCCCAAAATAAAAACAATATGAACTAAAGTGACATTTTTTCAGAATAGCTTCAGAAAGTGGTTCCATTATTCAAATACAAAAGCGTGGATGCTGTCGGTTGAAAGGACTTTAAGCCACGAGACGAGCATTGTGAATTTGTCAAGTGAATCCAAAATAAATAATGACAAGAGTGAACATTTGTTGATCTTAAGTTTCACTGTTTCTGAGCAAAATACCCAATCTCCCGAAGAGTTATATAGGCCCCTGCCCCTGAGATTACTTACAGTGAAATTGTAGTCGGCCGCCAGAGATTTGTGAATGGACTGAAGAGAGCAGTCTGTGCTTTTTAGGCTCACGAACCGGAACTGTGCAGAAAAAAACAAAAAACACATTTAAAAGGTCATATAATTACAGAAACTTGAGCTTTATGTCATGTTAGAATGCTGTCACTTCATCAAAAATATAACTGGAGTTGTGTTTTTGTTGCGTTTCATTCACATATGTTTGAGTAATCCTGCATTATTAGTCTGTCTACATCTCCAAAACTCAGTTAGTTCAGTAGACATTAGCAATTCCAGGGCTGAAATGATCCAGATGATTCAAGTGAAGGTGGTTTTGTTTGAGGGAAGAGCCTAAAAATGTAGGGTAGTGTGTTAAACATGTATGAATAAAACAAAACACAACTCCAGGTCTGTTTGTGATGAAGAAACAACATCATAAAAAAGATTTGAAATAGTGTAACATAAACACATCACATTTAAAACACATCACAGAGGTACATCAAAATAATTGTTTCCAGTAAAATCCCTCCGCTGAACTATAAAAGAATCATTTACTTGAACAAGTCCTGGCGGAAAGTCTTGGGATTAAAGGAAACAGGAGGAAATGCAACTGGCAATGATGTTTTAGAAAAAGAACAATTTTCCAGATGAAGCAAGCTAGTAATTGTAAAATTGGCAACACTCCTGGTGGTTGCAGTCATAAAATGGATTGGGTTCGATAAGAACGTCTGAAATACAAGGAAACAAAAGGAGTTCAAATGAAAAGTTAATGACATTTATCTTTTGGATTACACAAATATGCGTCCACTAACAATATCTGATAAGAAATTGTGCAAATATAAATGGTATAATAAAAACAAATATGACATTTTTCAGGACCACTTTTGATTCTTTTGTTTAAAAAGATCAGTCAAAAAGATCGAATAGATAGATTTTTTTTTTTATTGTTTGCCAAGTTTTTCATTGTTCTCAAACCTAGGGACAGACTGTTGATAGTTTGCAGCGATCACATTGGGGGTGTTCTACATGTATGTCTATACGGCAGAATGTTCAGCAGTTACCATGGAGACACAGTCTGCACATTAGCAAGCACTGCCAAGTAAGTTTAAGAAAGTTTATGTTTAAGAAATACAAAATGGATTGACAACACATTTTCAGGAGCCTGTCAATATGAGTGTTCATAGTCCTGTTTAGGAGTTTGATTTTCAACAAAATGGTGACAGCTCTCTTGCTTTTAACTTGTTTAACAGCACAAATCAGATAACTTGATTCAGATCAAAAATAAAGTTTAGATTAAAGTCTAATGGGTCTCAGGCAGAGCAGAGCCTATAGTTATCTTGGCATCCTGAGGGAATCTTGATGACATAAATGTACATATCAGTACATAGTACTGTGGTGAATCTTAGGTCAGTTAAAAAGGAGGATCTTTTCATCAAAGTGCTATAAAGAAGTGTTTGCCAAACTTTTTTTCTGGGAACCCATATTTTAAAAGTCACAAACCTTAGTGACTCTAGTCAATAAATATTATTCGTAAATCACAAAATAAAGGTGGATTTGACCATTATTGAACATTAATGAGGATATTTTATTGTTGACTGAGTGATCGTGTCTCTTTGAACAATTAGTATTACTCAAGTTTTAAACAATGAATATAACAGTCACTGTAACACAATCACACAATAAAAGGATCCATAAGTCGCCTATTTGGACTTTAAATGTAGCCCATTTCTTTTTCTTTTCAACATTCAATTGAACCAGCAATATTGGAATGAAACTGTCAATGAAACAATTACAAAAAGATTTGAAATTATACAAAACATGTTAACATTTCAACATTTCTAATGAGAGAGTTGGGTCAGTCTGTGTTTTTGTAGGGCGTTCCAGTCCCGGGTGCAGGAGGAGCGCAACACACATATCAGGCGATCCCAACCTGAGGGTCGCAGTCCCGTCTTTGGGAAATAATGGTACAAAGTATCAAGCCTTTTTTTCCCTCAAAATATCAAGACTTTTAAATTCTAGTAACTAGTATGGATGCCAATTCAGAAAACCATAAGAGATGAGGTTAAAAATGTATTCATGTGAAGCTGCTCAATAGTTACATGTAGGTTAAGTAACAGTTACAGAACAGATTTAAATCTATTTTGGAATTCAGTCAACTGTATTTTAGGAACACAGTTACGTTTTATACAAGGGCAAATATTAATACTGGGTATTGGCAAATAGAGTCAAAATATCTTATCTTATATTGGTATTGGATTTGAAAACGCTTGATCAGGGCACCCCTAATGATTCATTTGTTTCTATTTTTAAAGCCTTAGACTGATGTTGAACTCTCAAATAAAAAGAGGCAAATAAATATCAAATCTTTCATTCACTCTTCTGTGCAGTATTGATGCGCTCACCGGGTTTCGCTTGGCGATCTCCGACAGCCCCTCGGTCTCCTGGACTTTGGACTGGAGCCAGTAAAACCGGAACTCGGTCTGTGATGAGAAAACAGGAGAGTAAACAAACCCTGGGACGATTCAGGCCAAACTGTGGTCAGCCGTCCTCCCACACATCTGCAGCACAGGCCCTGTCCTTAAGTCATTACACAGGCATCTGAGGCAGGGTGACTGAGTGCACACACAGCGCTCTATACTACATTCTGTGAGAATGCCAACGCTAACACCACGTTCAATAACTCGTATATTGTATGTGCTACTGTGATAGGGATGTCACGCTGAAACAGTTAAAGTCACAGTATGGAACTCTTTAGCAAAAAAATTTAATAGAATAGAAAATAAAAGCATGTTTTATTTTCATTTCACTGACAAACATGTGCCCTTACTGTGAGCTGGCTTGCATCTCCACAAACCTGACTCTAATTTGACTTCCTCCATGGAAATGTTGTTCCTTTGGCTACAGTCTTCCTCAGTATGGTTTTATTGTGCATGATTCATGGAATCATGCAGGTGATGTGCCACCATTACTTGTACATATACATTTATCATATACATGTACATAATTATGCTTTATTTGACATCTAATCAGTCTCTTGCTGTTTCTGTTACTGATTTAGAATTGATGATACCATTTCTCTTTGTTATTAGAATATACTGCGAGCTACTGTGTCAAAATAAAAACTAGCAGTGGTAGTAATGGTAGTAGTAGTGGTAGTAGTAGCAGTAGTAGTAGCAGTAGTAGCAGTAGTGGTAGTAGTGGTGGTAGTAGTGGTGGTAGTAGTTGTAGTAGTGGTGGCAGCGGTAGTAGTGGTAAAAGTAGTGGTAGTAGTGGATGAAGTAGTAGTAGTTTTAGTAGTGGTAGTAGTAGTAGTGGTAGTAATGGTAGTGGTAATAATGGTAGTAGTAATGGCAGTAGTAATGGTAGTAGTAGTGGTAGTGGTGGTAGTGGTGGTAGTGTAGTAGTAGTAGTAGTAGTAGTAGTAGTAGTAGTAGTAGTAGTAGTAGTAGTAGTGGTAGTAGTGGTAGTAGTGGTAGTAGTAGTGGTAGTAACAGTAGTAGTAACAGTAGTAGTAGTAGTAGTAGTAGTGGTACTGGTAATAATGGTAGTAGTAATGGCAGTAGTAATGGTAGTAGTAGTGGTAGTGGTGGTAGTAGTAGTGGTAGTAGTAGTAGTAGTATGGTGGTAGTAGTAGTAGTAGTAGTAAGTAGTAGTAAGTGGTGGTAGTAGTAGTAGTAGTAGTAGTAGTAGTAGTAGTAGTAGTAGTAGTAGTAGTAGTAGTAGTAGTAGTAGTAGTAGTAGTAGTAGTAGTACTAGTAGGGGTGCTAGTGGTAGTAATGGTAGTAGAAGTAGTAGTAGTAGTAGAAGACAATTTTAGAGGCAAAAATATTTTTCTATCTATTTATTTCCTTTGCCAAATAAAGTAAACCTAAAACTAAACACTTTTCTATCTGCCAATTTCTGTCACATTAACTTTATTTTACTCAGAGCTCACTGAGAGTGGCCTTATCATTTAGCAATAACCATCATGTTTCTTGTAGTTTTGTGACGTCAGAGTTACAATGTCCACTCCACATTTCTAATAATAATAATAATAATAACAACAATACTGTGCAGAGTTTTACCGGACAGTCGTAGACGGGATGTCCTCTCCAGCACATCACGTCCAGAATGTAATAGGTCCGGTCCACCTCACTGTAGATGCAGTCTAGGATCGTGTAATCTAAAACACAAGATATAAATCACACGTAAGCCTTTCTATATACAATGCACGATTACTAATAATTTGTAGATTATTACTGAATCTACTGTAAATAAAGCCAATTCACAAGGCTCCCAGGCCATTACAGGGGACATATGATTCAAACCCCACTGAATTTTTGTTATAAGGTGTTCCCTCATAGTATTTTTGTACTTTCTTCAACTATTCTTCCACATACTTGCTACTTAAAGAGCCTGTATCCAATATTTCCCATGTATTCCCATGTATTATTGTATTGTCTTGTCCTAGTACAGTTATATTGTTTAAGCAACTCTTGAGGTCAAAGAATCCCTCAGACATTAAGGTAGAATCCATGGCAAAGGAGAAATTCAATTTGTCAACTGGACAAACGTTTATTAACTGAAGAGGTTATTTTGTTAGGAAAGACAACATCCTTGAAATAGAAATGGAGGCCTCAGACATCATCTGTCTCCCATCTACAATTCCTTCCGCAAACCTAAAACAAAGAACAATAGATGGCCAGGTCAGGTCCAGAGGTGTGAAAATACTCATTAGGAGCCTGAATGTTTCTGCTAATACATCCCCTCACTCGGATACAACCATAGAGTGTATAAAAGAAGTGGACTAAGCGAGTGTGACGTCACCCATAGCGTTCAGTGCCACTCAAATGAGGCTTGTGATGTTCACGGTTACAGGAGCGAATCTTAAGCTCTATGTTATGAACAGGATTTTTTTGACGGACAAAATAGCGAAAAAAAAAAATCATGTGTCGCGGGTTAATACGAACATTTTAAGACCAAAATAATGAGGCTCACTGCTGCAGTTACAGAGAGAGGGGCGACAAGATCCCAATGTAAGTCAGTTGGAGCCAGGGTCAGAAGGAGCCGGAAGAGCCTGCTGGCGAACTTCCTATTCGGCATGCGGCTAGGCTAGCGTGTTAGCTATGTCCACTCATACTTATGGTCTATGGATACAGATGAATAGGCCCAGCTAACAAACAGAAACTGTAAACAAGTAGGGTATTAGTTCCAGAGTAGTTTCAGTGTAGTTAGCGCCTTAATTCAGGCAGATATAAAAGTGTCCACCAGGGTCTGACCAGAACTGAAGAAGCAGCTTGGATGAGCTGCAAAACATTTTCGACTTAAATAAACGTTTGTCCAGTTGACAAATTGATTTTCCCCTTTGCCACGTCTTGAGGTCAAAATGACTCTGCTGTGTTTTGTCTGCATCTAATTATAAAGCGCTTTATTGTCGGATAATCAGGAAGTGCACTGGTAACATGCCAACTGTCGCTAACTTTACAGGCATGGTTGTGTGAAGTTATATGAAAAGTAAGTGAGGAAGAACCACTGCAAACTGTTGAAAATGAACTAGTTGTGTTTTCATCTTTAACTGATATAAAACTATGACACATATTGACCACGCCAAACCAAGTCATATCTAGTAAAAACATAAAAGTCCAAAACAGTCGTTGTACCACTCTGCAGTGACTCAACAGTGAGACAGAGGGACGTTAGATTGTCCTCGTCTGTCCTTTAGGTCTTTTGTAAACCCACAAACCCAAACAGGGCCCACCTTTTCCCATGGCCGAGTTGTGCCTGTTCCCACCGGGCAGCAGCGAGGGGAAGCGGCTCACGCAGTATCCACTTTTGGTGTAGGCCGCAGTCGAACCCTGAAGGAAAATAAACACAAACAAACAATGCACTGTTTTCTATGGTTTTCCAGGGATTTGTAACAGGCCACAGGAGGTAGAGAGACAGAATGGACAAATACAATGCACAAATGTATTACAGGGAGAGTGTGTTATGGATTTTAACACTTTTGTTTTTTTCACAAATCAGTATCTGACTATTACTAAATTATATTACACAGAACTAACTCTTGTGAGTTCATCAAAACACATCTCCAAAGCTCAAATTGATCTGTAATAAATTTAGTTTTCAAGTTAACAGCTGCCTTTTACCTTTTGTACAGTACAGATTAACAGTTCCAGGGTTGTAACAATCCAAATTATTCCAGTGATGTTCTATGGAATTTAAAAACACAGTAGGGCACTTCTGGTATTTTCAGTCTAAGAGAAGAACTTGCCTAAATATGCAGGGTTTGTGTGTAAAACATGTGTAAATGAAAAAAACAAAAAAAAAACAACACAACTCCAGGTCTGTTTGTTATGAGAAAACAACATTATAGCATACAATTAATAATTAAAAAAAAGGCAGAATATGGGTCCTTTAATTCCACTTTTCTTCATTTAATTAGAGTAGAGTTAGAACTATTAGACCCTTTAAAATCCTATGTCATCAAATTATTTAAAATTCTAGAATGGAGACAAAATGTAGCAGACATAATATATTTTCAAGGACTAACTGATGAACAGATCAAAATGCAAAAATAAACCCCACATTGTGTAAAAAATAAACAACAAGTTTGAATTTTTGAGATATACATAGTAGTTAATTTGCTTCTCTCAACGTTCTAACCTCAAAATTGCATTTGAGCTTCCCAAAAAGTACAATTTACAATGAAATGTATAATGTATCTGTAGATGAAGCAACTGTAGTTGGCTCAAATTCTCTGTAAAGATTTGTGCAGTAAACCTAAACATCTGGATTTTTCCTTTCTTTGTTTCAATCATAATCTCTTTTTAATTTAACAGATAACATAAACAGGCTCTGGTATCACTCACATGTTTCTGCGAGGTTTTCATTTGCTAGATTTCCTTTGATTTTTCATATTTTGTGATATACTGTGATTAATCCCAGTTTCCCAGTTGAGATCACATTGTGTTCCACTTTGCTTTTGCCTCCAACTGCCACCATTTTGGAATTTAGAATATTTTTGTTTACAGATTTTTAAAGAGTCTATAGGAAGCCGTTTTTGTGCAACTATAAATCTTTATAAAACCAAACCAAAGATAATATGTCAGACATGTCAAACTCAGGCCCGGGGGCCAAATTTGGCCCACGATATAATTATATTTGGCCTGTGAGATCATATCAAATATGTATTAGAGCTGCCCGTTGGCTACAGATAGACTATACAGACATTATTTATTTAAAATGGTGTTACTATTTTATATTATGCTTGAGATTATTAACTATTATTAAACATTTATTTATTATGATATTATATTTATTATTATTAAGAATTATGTAATTATGTAATTAACATTACATATCTTGAAAGAAGAGAAAACATGCAGATGTTATTGAAATTTTTCAATAAATATTTAGTTTGGTCCGCGACTTAGTTCCACTTTTTAATTTTGGCCCTCTGGGAATTTGAGTTTGACACTCCTGTAATATGTCAACTAATCAAAATGTTAGTCGACTGCAGTAGAATCCACCAACTGACTAAATGACAAGACTTAAGATGTTTTACTTTTTGACATGAACTATATTTTCTCCTTGTGGTAATTCTAATTTTTCAGTTTCAAATGCTTTTTGCCACAAAATTTAAGACTTAACACTTAAATCTATCAGAAAATGACATAAAAGTAGTGAAATTATCTGACCATGCAGCAAGATCATTTTACTTGACATGTTATCTTAAAATAAACCACTTCTAGACTAGAATTAAGCAGCCTCAGAACTAGCAAGTAGATAATAAATTTGAAAGCAAGATGAATAACCTGATATAAGTTTTAAAATCTTGGTCAGATCAGAGAAATTTGCAGTGCATGAGCTGGTGTCTCTGTGTTCGAGTGTACCTCTGATCTGATGAGAATTAGGTCAATACCCAAAAGAGGAAGTAGTTGAAAGTAGGTGCAAAGTCAGTTCACACAGCGTTATTACAGAACTATTGTTTTTTTGTAGACTGTGTCAGTGGCTTTGAGAAGTCCTCAGAGAAAAAATGCTCTACTGTAATCTGATTTACACAGGAAATAATACATAAACAAACTGAAACCAAACTTTATATAAACAAAAAACTGTATTATTAGATGGTGTATTTTAAATTTCTTGAAGACAGTTGAATTTGTAATTATTTTTACCTTTATTTTCCCAGCTAATGTTAATGTTATTGCTTTGTCTGGGATCAGAGGCGGTGCTACCATTGGGCAACAGTAGGCAGCCATGTAGGGCCCCCGAACCTGGAGGGGCCCCCAACCAATTGCCCTGATTGTCAAATCTATTTTAACTGTCAAAGCATTCCCCCTTTCACGTTAGAATGGACTAGTCAACTTGACCCTAATTTTAACGTAATCATAGCATAATCATTTCAGCTCTGGTTGTCTAGTAGGCTACCTGACTAACAAGACGAGTTTCCAATCCACCCTAATTCAAATAAAGATGTGCGTGTCTCATGAACAAAAGACAATAAATATATATATTAAAAAACAATAATAACAACAACAAAACAAGAAAACAGTGCATTATAGTGAGGGCCCCAAACTCAAGTTTTCCTAGGGCCCCCAAATTGTTAACTCCGCCACTGTCTGGGAGTATTTCACAGTATGGCATTAAACATATCTAAGCAGGTAACGTTACCAGGCCAATACAGAGAGGCAGATCTGTGGAGAGGCAAGCCTGGTCACAAAAAGAATATTAATATATGGTGTTTTCAAGGTATTTTTGAGCAATAAAAACAACCAAATGAACTAAAAGCAAGAGAGAAGTTTAATGTCATACTGTGGAACATTAGTCAAAGCAATTATATCACCACTAGAGGTAAGCAGGTGGCAGTCCCTCAATCAGAAAAGTTACACAGTGCAGCTTTAAAGAAGACCTATTGCGCTTGAGCCTGCCATATAGTAATGATGTACGACACCTATGGATCATTGTTATAATACGCACATTTTAAAATTCCCATATTGCACTATTTTCTTATCTATGTTTTAATGTTGTTTCCTCATCACAAACAGACCTGGAGTTGTGTTTTGTTTCATTCACTCACACATGTTTAACACACAAACCCTGCATATTTAGGAGTTCTCTCAAACAGAAAACACTCTGTTCCACCTCGTGATGTCATGTGATAGTATGCTTCAGTAGAATCATTTGGATGATTTCAGCCTTGGAATTGCCAGTCTCTACTCAACTAAAGGTAAAAGGAGCTGTTAATATGAAAACTACCACTTAAATTACATCGCAAAGTGGAGCAGAGCATTTTGAGCTTTGGAGATAGATAATAGAGGGCTGTGTAAACGTGTGAATGAAGCAAAACACAACTCCAGGTACATTTTTGTATCGCTTAAAGCTCATAAGATTAATTTTTGTGTAATATAGGCCCTTTAAAACTGTGGTGCCTAGAGGTGTAACAATATCCAAGTCTCATGATACGATATCGTCATGGTATAAATCTCACAGTATGATATTTATTTCGATATCTTGGGAAGCTCACGATATGGTAGGTGATTAAGGATGAAACAATATCCAAATCTCTCTACGGTATTTTTATACTATATATTTGCTACTTTTTCCTCTTAAAATGTCTTGACAAGACTTAATCCAAAGAATGAAGACGTAAAAGTGCTTAGAACTGTTATTTCTTCTTGTATTCAGCACTGAAATGGAGCAAAAGATCATGGTCTATGTAGTTCCCTCTGTCTTTTATTAGCTATTGCTGCACCATAACTCTTAATTTAAGCAGAGAATTGATATATTGTGATGGTCCACGATATTATTGTGAGACCTTTGATGATACAATATCACGATATTTCGGTTATTGTTACATCCCTAGTAGTGCCCAGTGGGAGATGACGTTGCTGTAAACTTCATCACAACTGCCAAATCCTAAGTGTATCACAGATTAAGAAAATAAAATTGGAAAAAGAAGTAAAAGGAAAAAGCAGTGGGCATATATCGGTGATGGAGAAAATGGTGGTTAATCAGCAAAATGATGTTGTGAAAATAAATGATTAAAGGTTGCTCAAACATGCACGAATCGCTCCAAATACAACTCCGAGAGAGTAATTGAAACTGTAACATGGTTAAAAGCTCTGAAAAGCCAATTTTGCAGAATAGGCCTGCTTTAACTCAGAAAGGGACCCTGTAATATTATCTTTTATGCAACGGTTCCAGTAATGGTTGTTGGGTAAGAGTAAGTGAAAGAAGAAGCATTGTGACCGATTTTACCTTTGAGGCGACGATGAGCGATCTCTTTCCCACGGGACAAACGACGAGCAGCCAATCACAGGCCAGATCTGAAGGGACGTCCACCAACCACTCAGACAGCATCAGCTACAGGGGACACGTGCAATCAAACTCAGTAAGAAGTCATGGACTATATTCCGTTTCTATTGTTATTATTATTCAAGGACCTGGTGCCATCTGCTGGACAAAAATAGAAACACGCAGATAAACAAGTACATGGTTTATGTGATATATGTAACATTGATTGTCCTATAGATTTACATCAACAGTTATTACGGCATATAATGTTGTCTATTAAGTATGTTTCATGTGCTTAGGTGAACGGACAGTGCAAAACAAAAACTAAACTGAATTTCACTCTTTCCTTTGTGTCTCTAGAAAAATATCATCTGCCTTTTTTGAGTTTTAATCCAGATGGCCTTCAACAAGCAACCTTCTGTTTACCGAATCTGATCATATTTTTGCAATTATCTATCAGAAGGATTATTTATTATTATTCCAAGACTTTTCAATCAAAGTCAGATCAGTGTCTTTGCTTTCAGATAAACATAATTGAACAATAAACTGTATAAAAAGTGGACTTTGTGAGTGACACATCATGGAATTATTTGGAATTCCGACCGCAGGTATTATATATAAAGTATATATAAAGTATATAGCAACCAAACAGCCAATCCAGAGAGAGACTATAGAAGGCAATGACCCATCCCGCTGGTTTAGCAGGGAGTGCTTAGAAGAGATGGGCCAAATGAGTGGACGCGTTGACACATGTGTTGAGCTCAGCAAGTGACCCCTCTCTTGAGTTGTGTTAGGCTGTGTCACTGTGTGTATCAGTTTAAGAAAAGTCACGTGACAGATACATCTATGTTGTTTGGTGCTGTTTGTGTCAGGAGGATTGAGGCAGCTTGTGTAGAGCAAAGAGCGCAAGGCTCAGATCTGTTGCAGTGTCTTGCTTCATCACCACAGAACCACAGAGAAACAGAAGACAGGCCTGTTCTCTGTGAGCTCATTTTAATCAGTCCCAAGTGGAGCTCACTACATATTTACTGAAAAAATAGATTATTTTTACTATTTTACTATCATCTTCATAACAATTCACCTTGTCATGTATCACGTATCACCTCACCTATGGTCATGAGCTCTGGGTAGTGACCGAAAGGACGAGATTGCGGATACAAGCGCTCGAAATGAGTTTCCTCCGCAGGGTGGCTGGGCGCTCCCTTAGAGATAGGGTGAGGAGCTCAGTCACACGGGAGGAGCTCGGAGTAGAGCCGCTGCTCCTCCACGTCGAGAGGAGCCAGTTGAGGTGGCTCGGGCATCTGCTCCGGATGCCTACTGGGCGCCTCCCTCGGGAGGTGTTCTGGGCATGTCCCACCGGGAGGAGGCCACGGGGAAGACCCAGGACATGCTGGAGGGACTATGTCTCTCGGCTGGCCTGGGAACTCCTCGGGGTCCCCCCGGAGGAGCTGGAGGACGTGTCTGGGGTGAAGGAAGTCTGGGAGTCCCTGCTTAGGCTGCTGCCCCCGCGACCCGGCCCCGGATAAGCGGACGAAAATGGATGGATGGATGGATGTATCACGTATATGACTACTTTATACTACCTTGTACAATAGGCTGTGATTTTCTTTAATAACATGAGATTGTATTACCTTCTTGGTCAGTTCTTTCATTTGTTGGATATCAGAGCATCTATGACAAACGAGTGTTCACGTGTCTAGATGAATGAGCCCTGCCCTGTGTCAATGCTTTCGGAAGCATAGGAAGCAGTTCAATTTTTAAACAGATGGACCTATAGAACGCACCAACACAGTATTAACACAAGGAGCACCCTCGGCGAAAGCAGGCACCTGACTTGTCTGCTATTAAAGTTCCTATCTTGATTTACGGACAAAATAACAAAATAAAAACCCCAGGATCATATACAAAGGGTTAATATGAACATTTTTAAGAACAAAATTACAAATTTGACAGCAGCAGTCAAAGAGAGAGGGGCAACGAATTTTCAATAGAAAGTGAATTGGAACCTGAGTCGCCGGAAGCACAAACATGCTCAAGTCCTATTTGGAACGTGGCACCAAACAGGTTAGCTATGCCCATTTATATACAGTCTATGGTTTGAACATACTTTTTATTCGCTTTAATATCAAATATAATGTAATGAAGAAAGAGAATTAAAACACGGCCTAGATCTTCCATCTCAAAATCCACATGTTCCGGTGTGATCTGACCTGGTTGGCGTAGTGTTTGGGCAGTCTCCTCCTCTCCACCTCCATCCCCTCCTCCTCTTCCTCTTCTGGGGCATCCCGAGGCTGGTCTCCCTGCTCCGCTGCCTCCACCTGCTCCTCTCCATCGCTGTCTGTGCTGGTCCAGTCCCCATCAGCCAAACGCCGCGCATGGTTCACGTAGTTCAACCTTTTACTGAGCGTCAAAATGAAATCATGTAAGTATTAAAGGTAATGATACAAAAATAGCAAAATAAATGCTCATAACTAATTCATAACTTTTTGAGAGATTATTTCAATTTAAACCGAGGCCATAAAGGTGCACTGTGTCTCCACTGAGATGTTACAACTTTGTCTGGAATGTTTCATACTGTACTAACAACATTTTAAAATTATTCTCACTAATAATAATTTGCATTATTAAAGGTTCATTACAACTTGATTTTGTGTATTAGTGTAATAATTATTAGTTAGTTAAAAGGTCTTATATTATGCAAAACTGACTATTGTGAGCTTTAAAACATGTTGGAATGTTGTTACCTCCTCAAAAACATACCTGGAGTTGCGTTTTGTTTCATTCAGACATTGAAATGTCATTGAAATGATTCTAGTGACGGTATATGGAGTTTAAAAACACAGTGGAGCACTTCCTGTATTACCAAATGACATCACAAGAGTGTTTTCTATTTGAGAAAAGAACTCAGCCTAAATATGCAGGATCTGTGTGCAAATGAAACAAAAAAAAAAAACACAACTCCAGGTATATTTTTGATGAGAAAACATCATTCTAACATAGATCAGAAAATCGCAATATGGAGCCTTTAACTACAACAGCCATGACCCCCAAACAGACGAGAAGAAAAAAAAACAAGCAGACAATAGTTTGGTTGAATACGTTTTCTGCAGCTCGAGGAATCGTCGTCTCCGCTCACTCTGCTCCAACACGCTGTACTTGGTCTTGTACTGTGCCAGCCGAGGGTGAGGGGCCGCCGTGCTGTTGGGCTCTTTGGACACAGAGAAACTGGCCGAGAGGGCAGCGGTCAGGTCCTCCATGGGGGCTCTAGATGTAGGCAGATCAGAAAGCATGTTAGCCAAACTGGAAATCCACTTGACTCTGAGTTATACTTCAGTTTTAGGGCTGTAGACGACTAAAGACATGTCATGTGTATTGATCAGTTTGGAAGTACTGACAAACAGCATCTTTAAGTGAAAACTCCAGCTAACTCATGCCTTCTCCTCTTTCCTGTTATGCTTAGAAATCTTATAAACCTATGCATTCACACTTGTACTTAAAAACTGGGACTAAACCTAGAGCTCAAACTGGACTAGACCAAGACTAAATCAGGATTTAAGTAGACTCAAAGCAGGATCAAACTCGAAATTACGTAAAAGCACGCCAAATAGTACTACACAGACTATTTCTTGAGGTCTTTAGGAGTCTTTTGGCTAGTTAAGTACTGCTTTCAGACTTTTCAGACTCATCTAGTACACTCATCTTTGTTTACTGAGAGCTGTATCGTGTTTAAGTAATGCTGCAATGAATAATTTGAATGACTTCAGCCCTGGACTTGCCAATCTGGACTAAACTAAACATAAAAAGGCAGCTGTTAATTTGAAAACTACAACTACAAAGCATCACAAGGTGGAGTAGAGCATTTTGAGCTTTGGAGATGTAGACAGACTAATAATAAAGGATTACTCAAACATGTCTGTCTGCTCAACAAGTCTGGGTATGTTTTGGAGGAGGTACCGACATTTTAACATGGCTTAAAACTTAAGAGAGTCAATTTTGTGTAATATAGGACCTTTGGGTTAGTTTACAACTTCATTAATTTATTTTAAAAATGTTGGCAATCACTGACTGTATAGAGATAATGACCAAACTACTATATGTGCCATCGCTGTACCATAATGTTCATTTAATTGGTTATAGCGTCTTTGGCTTATTTACTATAGAACAACATAATTTCATCTTTAAGTGAAAAGGTGCCATTCTATTACAGCACTGTTTTCCTTATTACCTCTTGTATATAGCTTTTTTGAGAGATTTTTTACTTATTTTTATACTTATTTTTCTACATACATTTATATAATTGTGCCTTATTTGACACCAGTCTCCTGCTCTTTTTTGTGCTACTTATTTAGAATTTATTATTACCATTAGGGCTGGGTATCATTAAGAACTTGCCGATACGATACATAGGCCACGATACGATACGCTTTCTGATACAGTGAGCTTTCGATTCAGCACGATATAATTCACATCAATTTGATACGGTTCAGTGGAAAAAAGGAAAAAAAATCATGGCTGTGATACTAAAAGTCTTTTTAAGTCTTAGTTCTTTGAATTAAGACTTGTGAAGACGTTTTAAGAGGAAAAAGTAGCATATTCATAGTTTTGTTAGCCTCCACAAAATATCGCAATAAATATCGCACGGTGAGATGTATATCGTGAAAATATCGTACTGAGGGATTTGGATATTGTTACATCTCTAATCGTGAGCCTCCCCAACATATCGTGAGCTTTCCCACGATATCGCAATAAATATCGTACCATGAGGTTCATAATGTGACGATATCGTATCGTGAGACTTGTATATTCTTACACCCCTAGTTAACATAACTGTAGCTCTTACACATATTAATTTGGTAAAATATACCTAAAAATACTCTTGACGATAAATCAATACAGCAGCTCATGATATAGATATTTTATCAGCACATTAAATGATACGATATATCGATATTTTGACATTTTTGCACACCCCTAATTACCATTTATATCTTTTACTCTTTATTATTATTATTATTATTACATTATATTGTGATGTGTGAACTACTGTGTCCAAATAATTTCCCCTGTGGATCAATAAAGTTTGTCTAAGTCTAAAAGCAAAACAAAACGTTCATGTTACATAAAAATGAGCTCATCATATTAACAAAACATGTTTAAATACATTTAGTTATGTCAAAAATCATGCGTAACAATATAAAAGAATAGTTCTGTCTAATTTAATATTGTGAATGTGCTTGAGTTTATATATCAGGCAGGATTATGGGCTGCAACAATGTTGTTAAATAGACTACCTCACAAGTACAAACATGGGTTATTAAGCAGTAATATATCGTGCAGACTTAGTACTTTTAAACCCATTATTAAATTAGTTTAAGAGATTAATAGATGAAAAACAAACCGTGGTGGTAGAAGACTAGAGCAGATCGTGAAGAGCCTACTCCGCCATGTTGGATTCTTCTTCGGGGACAGAGACGCTCCTGCAAGTGCGTGACTGCCCTCTAGCGCACAACATTGGGATGACACTCACATTTAACGCACGCATAACTCCAATAAAATGAAAAATAAAAATATAATAAATAACTTAAAAATATAATAAGTAAAATATCGTAATAACATCAAGGTTCTCCATTTGTTTTTTTCAAAGGAATTTGTAAAAGTTGATTTTATTCATGATTTTCCAAAAAATGCATTGATTTAGTTTTGGTTTTTAGTCTTTTTAACCACTAGAACTTTTTATTTTATTTCATTTTAGGCTAACTATGGATCTAATGTGCATCCAACATTCCACACTCATGTAAAAGCTGCAAAAATACAACTAAAAATACTGTTCTTATAACTTGTTTATGAATAGTATCGTTAAAATTTTACTGTATTTCTTTTAAACCAAAAAAATTACAAAAATAAAAGCATATGTTTTCACTATGGATGTGTAAGAGATCTATTCCAGATCTGCCACTGATCTTAAATGCTGATAGTAGTTCTCAGTGATAAGTAACCCAAAATAGGGTAAAAATATGAAGAAACTAACTAAATCAACTAAAACTGTCTGAGAACTACTACCATTAACAAATGTCTGCTGTGTAAAAATTTACCTTTTTTCTATTAAAATACAGTTAAAGATAATCAGATAGAAGTAAGGCCTTTATTGTTTTTGCTCATATTGCTCAGAGAAAAGGCATGAACTTTCACAATTGCTTTGAACCAGTGTAAAATACGCAGAAACTAGACAATGGCAATAAATACGAAAAACACAGATTCGCAGAAACGTGACAGCCTTTATTGCGCAACTTTAAATGAGAGGTGCAATTTTTTGATTTGATTGCATTTCATAAGAAGCCTTTTAACAATCACCATCCACGGTTATTTGTTTATAGCAGTCAGTTATTACCCAAAATGCCATTCAAAACACAGACAGATGTTAAACCACAATCCGCATTCTTACAGTTTAGCCCTCTCCCTGGACCTCAAACCCAGTCTACGCCCATGATGGCAAATATTTCTTTTATTACAAGACACTCCTATGCCTTTGATTGCGCTTGTTGCAGTTTTCCATTCGTCCAAACGGTGGCAGCATCGAGCAGCTCGCGTCTCCCAGGGAATATAAAGAAACAGCAGATGAAAAGGGGGCGAACTAACTTGCCTCCAATTGTCCAGTCTCACGTCATGGAAATAGTTACTTTGTTGAGTCTTTCCAGCGCAAACAAACCGCTCTAAACTAGGAAAACGTTGGATTTTGTCGCGTTAGTTGTTTAATGTTTCGCTTTGTTTTTTTATCTCGCCCCTTTTGGATCTCATTTAAAGAGGGAGGACCGATAGAAGATGCGCGCGGACCTGTTTACAAGGAAATAGCTCCTAAGTTTCAGTGCAAGGGAATGCGCACGGATACTCATGGGCTGCACATTGTCACGCCAGTACACTTTGTCTTGGAAATATTCGCGCCGAGGATAATCATTACGCACGGGAATACGCGGCGACGTTTGGGCTTTTGGCACAAGTGAATTACGCACGGCTATAGGATCTCGTATGTGGAATATTTCAACGGACTGCTGCTTGCTTTTTGATACGCCAGCTTTGTTTGCCAACCTGTTGTCTGCTCATGTGAATGGAGAGCTGTTGTAACAAGGGAGGTAATGCGTAAAGTTGTTACAAAACGTTAGATGACAGATTGCATGACGATACGTAGGATTATCAGGTCTATGTTATGTTTACGTCTCTTAGAGGACACGTTTTGTGCTTATAACTGTTAATTTTACATAAGCCACAGCATTGTTTTGGCACACCTGATCCAGCAGCTGCAATGTAATATGATAATAGCTTCAATTTTACAGTGAAACCAGTGTCAGATTTTTTTCCAATACACCATGCACTGAAAGAGCGAGTAAGTACGTAATCTAAAAGGCTATAGATGGTAGAATTTAGGATCGAGGAAACCACTCAAGATGTCAGTGAAAGCTAGAGCTATATATACTTTCCAGAGCGAAAACAAAGAGGAGATTAGCATACAGGAAAATGAAGAGGTGCTTATTTTTGATGAGAACTCGGTGGACGGATGGTTTCAAGGCGAGAACAGCCGCGGACAGCGAGGACTCTTCCCTGCGTCCTACGTGGAGATCATACGCGGTCGTTCCAACTCCAACCTGACCGACGATTGTTCGATAAGCCCGGCTGGATCTCTGGGCAACGACTCCACCTACATCCACGGAACGCCGAATTCCACCAACGCGCACTTGCAGCAAAGTTACAGCTACGACGATGACGACTACGACGATTGGGACGACTGGGACGATCGGTCGACTGTGGTGGAGGAGCTCGATCACACGAGTCACACGACGAGGGGTCCGGGCGCCAATGGGCATGCGCACCAGAGTTCCGTCACGAACTCTAGCAACCCCAACGTGCACTACCGCTCCCGCCCGCCCATGGAGCGTCAGGATAGCATCTCCAGCGCCAGAAAAAGTAGCAGTATGGTGGGGAGAAACTTGAATCGATTTTCTAGTTTTGTTCGCTCAGGGGTAGAAGCGTTCGTTTTGGGCGATGTCCCGATGATGGCCAAGATAGCCGAATCCTATACGATTGAGATGGGACCAGTTGGACCGCGTTGGAAAGACAACCCAAATCCCTTTATATGTTCCATTGAAGACCCAACAAAACAGACCAAATTTAAAGGCATCAAAACGTACATATCATACCGTGTCACCCCTACCCACACGGGGCGCCCTGTTTACAGACGTTACAAGCACTTCGACTGGCTTTACAACAGGCTTTTGAACAAATTCACAGTCATTTCCGTGCCACATTTGCCCGAAAAGCAAGCGACCGGGCGATTCGAAGAGGACTTTATCGAAAAACGGAAAAGACGACTCGTATTATGGATGAATCACATGACTAGTCACCCAGTTCTGTCCCAGTACGAGGGCTTTGAGCACTTTTTGATGTGCGCGGACGACAAGCAATGGAAGTTGGGTAAACGGAGAGCAGAGAAGGACGAAATGGTCGGCGCCCACTTTATGCTGACGCTTCAAATCCCGAACGAACACCAAGATTTGCAGGACGTCGAGGAGAGAGTGGACACTTTTAAATCGTTTGCCAAAAAAATGGACGATAGCGTTTTGCAGCTAACGCACGTGGCTTCGGAGCTGGTTCGGAAACATCTGGGCGGATTCAGGCGGGAGTTTCAGAGACTGGGCAACGCTTTTCAGTCTGTGAGTCATTCGTTCACTCTGGACCCGCCTCACTGCTCGGACGCCCTCAACAATGCAATCTCGCACACGGGACGCACCTACGAGAACATCGGGGAGATGTTCGCGGAGCAGCCCAAATATGACCTCTTCCAAATGCTGGACAAACTGTCGCTGTACCAAGGCCTGCTCGCCAACTTCCCCGACATCATCCACCTGCAGAAAGGTAACGCAAACACAACACAACATCGTCACATTAAGGTCAAGGTTAACTTTATTTATATAGTACTTTTACACCAGGCTATGGTGCCCAAAGTGATTTACAGGGCAGGATAGCAATAGAAAAAACACAATCAGTATAAGAGATACAAAACCAAATTCTAAATGTCACCAACGAACCAGCTCAACTTGTGAGATTAAAGTGTGGATTTTAAACTCTATGCTTGTATGTTCAGACTGATATCTTTGTATTTGTATCTTTGTATTTTTTTTAAATAGAGGCGAATACCGGCTTGACCGTTCCCCCTGGCTTGAAAGTCCCAGCAAGGGCCGTCCCATTCTCTTGGCAGGAACGTCCCCCATCTCCCTCCGGGTGGCCCCTTCTCTTGGGCGGCATACTTCTTTGCCCAGGAGAGGTGGGACGTTCTCGCCGGTCTTTAGTCAGTCGCGTTATGCACTGTTAGGTTAGAAAATCAGCATTTTATACCATAATAAAATGAAATGTGAATGGAGCGAGTCAGACTTTGGTTATGTCATTTTACCGATCTTCCCAAAACGACACACATTTTTTCAGTTTGTAATATCAATATAATCCTCATTTGCTCACAGAGGTTTACTATGAAATTGTATTTTAAATATTTTTTTTCTTGTTCCCCATATCCTCTATGTCAGGGGTCTCCAGCCTGTAGCTCGGGAGCTACCAGCAGCTCTCCACCCTCTTCCAAGTAGCTCACCAAGGAACTTTGGAAATACACGAATTGTGCTGAATAACAAAGCACTGATTAATTACATGACTATTACCATTGTATCATCTTGAATCTTTTAATACAAACTAATAAATGGACAATGGTTTATGTTTTAAAGGCATTTAACTGTACCCAAAGACTCTTTGGATACAGTTACTGTCTTTCTTATAATTGTCTCAACTAAACCCACCAACTTGACCCACTAAAATGATTAGCTCTCTGGCATTTTTGTTTTGTAAAGGTCGCTCACCGGAGGAAAAAGGTTGGAGACCCTTGCCCTATGTGTATAGATGAACTAACTTAGTTTCATAAAGGGTACAGTTCAGGGAGACTTTCCAGCTGATTTCCCCAGAGGCATGTCCGGTTATCACTTGCTATGTCAGAGCCAGAACCAAACGTGACTGTGCAATTGGATTTGTTTATTGCAGTGACGCACTTGAAACTAAGGAGCTCATTGGTCGCCCACAATGTTGAACAAAATTGAACTTCTCTCACCAAAGATTAATAACAGAAACAGGTCCTTTTAAGAAGAGGGTGGAGAGAGGGGGTAGGTGAAAAAGTGTTATGAAATATAGTTTTCCGAGCACTCTTAGTGTGCATTTGACAAAAGCCAGATTGTGATGGCTGCATGTCTGAGTAAACTGCTGCTTTTATGGGGTCTCTGGGTTTCCTTAGTGAACAATGATGAACCAGGGACTGCAATTTGGATAGTGAGAGCATTGTTTTAAACAGCCTATTCAAATGTTAACGGGAAAAAGTAACTTCCAAATAAGGGCATAAAACAATATTCTGCTCTATTGTGGGTACTTTTACAATCCTTTCACATTTGGCTGATACTTAAACTTCAACTCATTAAATTTAAGACACATAAGTACTAAAACTACAAAAATATTCATTGTCTTTCTATGTTGCCCAATCTCTACTTTCAGTTAGTGCAATGACCTTTAAATTCTGCACTGGAAATACCTTACATAGAGATTGTGGCGTTCCCCTCATGGCTACCTGCTGTTGTCAAGGATGCGTCCCACTGCGGCACGCCCTTCACAGCACCCACGTTTGACATTTAACATCTAGTTTGATTGAATTACTTCCTTTTCATGAGGTATACAGGTAGAACTGGCTGCTTAACTGTCACATTGCAGATTTGTTGGCCCGGTTTGTGGTTGATATCTCTGTAATTACCGGGCCTATCCACAGGAAACAAAAATCTGGCACAAAGTTCATCTTCTCTGTCACTATAAATAAACCAAAGTGATTTTTTATTTTTTCACAATAGCCTCAGAATGTGGTGACATTATTAAACAAAAAAAACTTTATTGTTGTCAGTTGAAAGGACTTGTATTACATGAGATTAAAGGTGCACTGTGTAACTTACAGTGGTGAATGAAGTACTCCATTTTGTTACTTAAGTAAAAATACAGATACAGTCGCAAAAAGTTACTCAATTCAAAGTAAAAGTACCACATGAAAAAATCGACTTAAGTATAAGCATTAAAGTACTTTTTTCAGAATATTGGCCTACTTTAAGAGTAAAAAGTAAAAGTATTTCATGCAGATTTTTATGAAATGTTAATTATTTAAAGTATTAAATGTAGTGATGTTGAAAGTATACAGGTTTTGATCAGCAATTCGAATCAATTTCTTATTTTTTTCTTATAAGTTCTGTGTATGTATTTATATAAACCTTTAGTCAGGATGTTACCACAAATATAGGAAAAATAATCCATAAAATCATCTGAAAAGTACTTTTTACTTTTCAGTCCAGTTAAAAATGTAGTGGAGTAAAAAGTACAGACTTCTGCTCTCAAATGTAGTGAAGTGAAAGTAAAAGTACCTACTGTAAAATGAACTTAAGTGACGCACGGATATCTAAAAAAAATCTACTGAAGTACAGTACTTCACTACTTTTACTTTGGAGATGTTGTTGCTTTGCCTGGAATTTTTCATAGTATGATATTAAACTTATCTGTTTCCATGGAGACAAGCACTATGTCAGTTTACAGGTCTCGTTTGTGGAAAGGTGGGCCCGCTTACAGCACAATGCATATTTTATCATATCATATCATATTTTTCATTGTAAAACATCTATAATTAAATAAGAAAGTTTAATGCCATACTGTGGTAAATTTCAGGAAAAGCTCTAGTTCATAGTGCTGTATATCTCCGTGGACATGACCAGGTGCTGGACTTGTACCATAAAAGTTACAATATTGCAGGTTTGTTGACGCAATCTCTAACAAAAAACGATAAGATTAGACTTTTATGGACTTTTATTTTTGATGTTTCTTCCAAAAACAGTAACTCTCCTACAGAGTTGAATAGACCCCTGTCCACTATCTGAAAACATGACATCATCACCTTCTAGAATCTGAAAACCTCCAGTGGTAAAAGTCTGTTATCTGGTGGATGAACTGTTGTAAATATAAGTGATAGTTTTACATCAGTCAAGAAGCAATTAGCAAAGAAAAGTTGAAAAATATGTCGAAAACTACAGGAAGTACAGAGTTTCATACTGATGAAATCCCGTTAGGAAAATTCTGTCCAAAAAGTTTATCACAATTTACACGCAAGAGACACGTTTTTCTGACACTTATTATTTATTTAAACAAAATCAAGGTGTTTTATGTGTCAGATAAAAATGTCTGTGTACATTAGAGGAGTTTTGGCCTAGAGTACATCTTGGTTCCTAGGTAACAGTTATAGAATTGCTGGGTTTCAAATGACGTCACAACACTCTATAGGCCAATAATACTCAACACGGACAGGGGATTGTTAAAATGCAGCTTTTTGTGGTAATATAGTGAGTTCTAGTGTCTAGTTACAAATAGAAATGCTCAGGTTCTACATTTGAGCTTTTACCTTATAGATATAACATGTCAGAGTACAATGTGATCAATTGGGAAATCTGACCCTTGCCCACCGTCTGAGAACATGACATCATCGCATTCTAGACTCTAAAAACCAGCAGTGTTAAATCCGCCGCTTATCGATTTTGGACCTGCCCAGACTGTGTTTTTTTGGAAGGAATTTGTCATATAAATACTCAACTTTGTGTCCCATTTTACATTTTTCTTTCTTTTAAAGACATGCTGTTTTTTTTCCAAATTGCTTCACACGAAAAGTAAACATTATTATATCCTTACCGTATTTTTTGGACTTTAAGTTGCTCCGGAGTATAAGTCGCAACCACCAAAAAATGCACAATGAAGAAGAAAAAATATGTATAAGTTGCACTGGACTGTAAGTTGCACTTTTTGGGGGAAAATTATTTTATAAAATACTGGAACTGACATTTCATCTTGAAAGGGAAGTTCTAGTAATAATAGGTTTGTCAATTCGTCCAGTGACTTCCGGGAAAGTTTCATGGTACATCCTCCCGGTGACACAAGTCACGCTCTCGCTCACTCAAAATTTTCTTTCTGCTGCTCGTTTCGCTGTCACATTGCAGATTTGTTGGCCCGGTTTGTGGTTGATATCTCTGTAATTACCGGGCCTATCCACAGGAAACAAAAATCTGGCACAAAGTTCATCTTCTCTGTCACTATAAATAAACCAAAGTGATTTTTTATTTTTTCACAATAGTCTCAGAATGTGGTGACATTATTAAACTAAAAAAACTTTATTGTTGTCAGTTGAAAGGACTTGTATTACATGAGATTAAAGGTGCACCGTGTAACTTACAGTGGTGGATGAAGTACTCCATTTTGTTACTTAAGTAAAAGTACAGATACAGTCGCAAAAAGTTACTCAATTCAAAGTAAAAGTACCACATGAAAAAATCGACTTAAGTATAAGCATTAAAGTACTTTTTTCAGAATATTGGCCTACTTTAAGAGTATGGTACATCCTCCCGGTGACACAAGTCACGCTCTCGCTCACTCAAAATTTTCTTTCTGCTGCTCGTTTACCATTTTCACCTGCATATTTCACTACTTGCAGCAGGACAGAGGCTCTTTCTGCAGGAGACATGCGCAGTAGAGTGAAGTGACAGTGGTACAGGGGTAATAGGAGTAGCACTCTAAGAACACAAGCCTAGAGCGCCCTCTGGTGGCTATCAGTGTGAAAATTTTACTATATAAGTCGCACCCAAACCATTAAAAAAAGTGCGCCCTATATTCAGAAAAATACGGTAATCTCTTATTTATCTTAGGAAAATTTCATATCCATAAATGTAAATTCATTCATCGTACACCCTACTTTACCTACTTTTCCTTTCCAAAATCCAGCATTGTAAGAAAACCATTCACTTGTTCCACAATTC